CATTGGCTTTTTAAGTATCTCTGACTTCCTGCACCCCTCTCTCCTGAAACCAAACCCATACACTCCTGATAAAGTGATCTGGTTATGTGAAAGAAAGAGAGGAACTAGTGCTGCTGATCCCACTGAGAATCAACATCCCACTGCTCAGATTCTTCATACTTTCACTGCTCATATAGAGAAGTTCACGTCACGCCATGTTAAATGTTTCCGACGTGGGCTCCGTCTTGTGAGGATCACATTGTTACCCGTGTTCCACCAACAGTATTTGGACAAACTAATCACAATTAACAACATAGAGCCACATGATTGGCAGCTTAAGGCTGAATCACAGACCTGATGCACTACCTCCACTCTCACACCTGGACATTGTAAACTGTCTCATTTTAATACAAGTATTAGACCGTGTGCCCCCCGTCAGCATGACATACCTTCACATTCTTTATAAAATGCTCATGTCAGCTGACTTGAGTATAAGATGATTAACTCTGGCATGAATCTATTTAAAATATCCATCTCTGCTATTATTGGCATATTAATACATACAGTACAGTAGTAAAATATGAGATTGAAAACTAGAAAGATAAAAAGAACCCTGCAAAAATAAATGATAGTTGCTAAGTGATGGTGTAACAGCAACAAGATAATAATGTGCCTCAGTGTGGTTAAATATACCTCATTCTAATACTTTCTTGTAGGAGTATTTCATGGGCAGTTTCATAAATGCAGCTGACTGGCAGTTGTTGCTTTATAACAAATGGACACCTTTATATTCAATTCGTCTCCAGCAATTACGAAATAAAGCGGCCGCTACAAAGCATCACGTGGAGATTTGATATTTCAGATGTTTCTACCACACTAATGAACTTGCAGCTAAACATAGCCAGACTCAGCTCTATCCACCAGTTGGGTAGTTCCCTCTGAAATATATTTCTCTTTTCATGCTAACATTAACCCACTAAAGTAAATTTACTGTAGAGTTCAGAGTCTGCCGACTCTTTAATGGACTTCCAGGCTGAGTGACGTTGCATGATATTTTTTGATTGCTACATTTGCCACAAAGAAGAAAAAAACCACCCTGCGACTCCCTCGGCTAGAGAGTCATGAGTGAACATTATTGTGTGGATGTTGGTGTCACAGGATGCTGGTGACATTAATGATTAATCAGAAGATCATTTCAGTAGGGTTTCTTTTTAAGTTCATGTTTGTGTGATCAACAAATCAATGGAATCAATGTGTTTTCATCCCATATGAGTATAAAGTTAATGTATTATTGCAGATTTTGCAAACATCTAATGATATGGTTTGCTCCACAGTTACTGATGATGGTATGAATGATGTCAATTATACTGTGGTGTATATTTATGTAAGTCATTAAACATATATTTATCCTGTGGACTGGCTCATGTGTTCACCACCTGCTTGTCTAACCACGACCGGCATCTCTCACTCTTTTTGTCTCTTTTCTAAAGAGCATCTCTGCTTCATCAGAAAGGACATATTTTATTTCATCATTCCTGCTTACGTAGGAGGGCATATTGTTTACCGAGAGGCAACAAAACATGGATATGTTTTTCCCTACATTGTTATCCAGTCATATGATTCTCTGAATGCCTAATGTTCCCTGTAAAATGTGGTACACAACGACCCTCTGCTGGTTCTCTGTAGTATTGCACCTTATTATTCGAGTTAAGATGCTGTAAACTTCTCCTGTTATAATGTGAATCTCTTCATATGTAACACTTACAGCCCCCTGTTTTAACCAACAGTCCACTCAGTATCAGGGGCCACAGGGACAAAAATAAACTGAAGAGCAAAAACATGTAAATTAAAAAGTATGTAGCAAGGTTTGTGTAAAGGAGGAGACATTCCCATTCAGCTCAGACACCAGAGAAAATTCTGCACCTTAATTCACAGTGTGTCTCTTGTTAATTTTAACATTTAATTACAAGTGTTTCAAGTGTCAGACAGGAAAATATTCCTGGCATTTACTGTAACTAAGCAACATCTTAATGTGAGCACACACGTACTGTAAATGTGAAACATGCTTTCTAGTTTTGTCCTTTAATTATCTTGGTAAAGTTAATTTGTTATAGTTAAAGCTGGGTTGCAGACTGGGCAGTTGTCTGGGACCCCAGAGGCCCTGCATTTGCCTGTGTGGCAATTAGTTTGTTGATTAATTAATATAAATTGAAAAGTTGAGGGGTTTAAAGCTGGGGTGGGCAGATATCTGAAAAAGGCAAACACACACACACACATACACACACACAAAAACAGCAGAATTTGAAAATACACCCTCCATCTGCAGCTTGCCTCTAGTCCCTCTCTGTCCTAAGCCCCTCCCACCAGATAACCACAGGTATATGCATATACTTCACACAGTAACCCAGTGTTTCCCTTATACTGATTTATTTAATCTCATGTCATTATATAGTTGCACACAGCACATTTGTTCAACCCCTCCGTGTCCTGCTCTCCCCTCTCTCTGTTTATCAGACCGAAAATTAGACTCCGCTCACTCCATCATCCCTTTGCCTCGTTTCCCACCATGGTGGACAACTTCCCCGGGAGAAGAGCGGACAGCAGCTTGGGAGGCAGACTTCCAGTCAGCAGGGAGTTGGGCTCACCTTCCCCGCAGAGCTGGGGTTTGCGCTGGCTGGATTCAGGTTGCGGTGGCCGCTGACTGGGGGCCCGTCTCTGGAGCTGCTGCCTGCTCTCCTGCCGGTGAGGTGGTCAGTAGTAGGGAGTGAGGTCAAGGACACGCTGATGCAAGGCTCTAGCTAATGTTAGCTTCAAAAACTAAGCCCCCAGGAAGTGGGCTTTGAAGTAGCCAAACAGTGGTACTGCAGTTTCCAGGATCTGTTACATGATGCCATCGGGCCCAAAAACAGTGTTTCCCATAGACTTACATTGAGAAAGAGATGTCTATAAATCAGTGGATACATTTTTTTGAGGGTCACAACTCCTGCAAAATAACTCGTTCCACTATCAAGGTGTAATGCATGCGGTCTGATAACATTTGAAAAGTCTACAAGACCTGCAGAATAAATAAATATATTCCCATACAAGCTAGTGGAGCACTAAACTGGAAGTCAGCCACTCAGCGGCACTAGGCCAAGCTCTGCATCTGTAAGTCTCTAATGCATCTGCTCCATGGGCCCGATGATGTGGAAGTAGCACTGATCATACGGGTAATTTTACCCTGCGGAAATAGAGCAATTTGGACTTCATAGACCACTAAACAACTTTCAATAGAATGTACAGAGCCCCACAGACAATACTGTTTCCAGGTCTCTTAATACAGTGGTTCCCAACTGGTGGGTCATGGTCCAAAAGTGGGTTGCAGGCCCATTCTGAATGGTCAACAAGTATCAAGTTTGTTAATTTTATTGTTATGTTGAAATAAAGTGAATGTCTGGCATGGAGCTTTTATTTTGAAGTGTTGTTTCCTACTGTAGCATGAGTGACTAATGGACACCAAACTTGCTTGACGACATGGCCAAATGCAAATATGAGACTGAATGTATTAAACTGTGTGGACCTTGAAGTAAAGACTGAGCATGAAGATGCATGAAGACGCAGCCACCAAGCCTTTGGCTCTGGTTATCAGAATGCTAAACTGTTGTCAACTTTTTCTCTCCATCTTTGAAACACTTTGCTGATATTGACGCATTTTATTTTGGTTATTGTCAGAATCTCTTTTAGACTCTCTTTTTGATAAGCTTGTCTTCCTTTTTTGGGCTGCTCTTCAGTGTAGGCAGTTTGTACTGAGGCTAGAATAGTGATTTTCTCTGCAGGATTCTTCGCCATTAAATCAGGTTTACACTGATGGGACGTGCATGTGCGTTAGCTTTTTAAGACCAGCCAATAGGAATGCCCTCTCTTTGAAATGACCTGTGATTGGCCAAGGTCTCCTGTCACGGCCTAGATTTTCTGAAGCCTGAAACAGAGCCGAGAGAAGGTGCAGAAGTCCACTTGAATTCCAATATGCAATAAGTTATTATGTGATTCTTGCCAAATGATGCCAAAATTAAACTGCCTACTCAAGCTTTAAGGTGACATAATCTTGAGTTTCTGTCTCATAGAGGAGCCCTGTTTCAGTTCCCATACAGTGCACTGAAAACTGTTTAATACATTCCATGCTGGTTTTTGCTGTAATTTGTCGGCCATCTGTGTAGTTCATTTGTCAAAATATGGCCACACCGAGGCTTTAATTCCCTAATCAGCTACTCAGCTGTCTTTTAATGGATAAATTATGACCTTATCATGATCTGGCCACAGTAACTTTAATAACAGTCATAACATCAGTTCATTGCTGCCTGCAGGGAAATGCTTTTTTAAGTTTTAGACCCCTCCAGGCAGGCCAAAGCTCAGACTCAGCTACTGTTCAGGGTTCAGGAGGGCAGACGCTGACTGACACGAGGGCTCGGCCTCTGCTTTAAGGGATTATCGTGCCTTTCACCATTTGAACTGTGCAAACAGGGTTGTCCATTCATCAGGAATACTGACTTTAATGACTTAAGTCTTGACGAATATAACAGAGGCTAGAGTGGCCTGTGTATGTTGTGGATTTGTGACAACCGTAACTCCCTCTTGCCCTCTTGGAAGGGTTTCCTTTGAAAAGCAGGTACAGGTAAAATGAAGGTGAAATGTTTTGTAAAAAGATTCCTCATTTGACTCTACTGTATGTTTAGTTTCTGAGCAAATTTTGTGCCTTTTTCGTGCTTATTTACCTGCTTTCGGTGAGGCTTTATTTGACAGTCTCACATTTTCTGTACATCAGCAGTTTTTTGCAGATAACGCCACACATCATATGGGATTTAGTAAAATTTACATACAAATAGAAAACTGATAAATGACACAGGGATTCTTGAAGCATTTGTTTTTCACTTACACATTCAATTTGAAATATGAAGCATGTGTCCTTTTTTCCTCCTCTATGTGTCATTACCTCTCCAGGTTTCAGACGCTTGTTTGCGCACAAGCTTTGTAAATCTTCTGTTTGCAAACCGCATTGTTCACTGCAAACAGTATCCATTACTGATGGACACCGTCCCATATTTGACATTGTAACAGAGAGAAACCTGATCATCTAGTTCACAGAGGGTGTGCGCGTATAATATTTATGTCACATCCTGTTTTTTTCATGTAGCACAAGGAGGTGGAGATCTGACACTTTGGTTTGCATATCTAAACACCCTTTTCACAAGGCATGGCTGCAAAGAGTGATCAGGAGCGAGTTCACACAGATGAGATGACACCAAAGCTCTGCTGTATCTACAGTACCTCTTGTTGACAGGAAATACTTGGAGTGCACTTCAAAGGTCTCAGCTTTTCCTTTTAGGAACCGAGAGCTCTGTGATTTATTGCAGACATGAGATGCCGAGGTGAGATTTCACTTTATTTCAAAAACAGTTTGGTCGCATGCCTGCAAACTTTCATCCATCTACTCTTTGTGGTTGGCAGCTGGTTTGCACTTTGCTGCTGTAATTGTTGTCCTCATGATAACGTGGGGAATCGCCATCAAGTCATTTGATGTGCGGGAGACAGCAAGAAGTATTTTTGGTGAGCTCATTTCTCCTTATTACATCATAAATCCTCAGCTGCCTCTTTTCCTTCAGCTTTATTTGCCACATCTCAATTATACTGCCTCCGTTCTTTTATTTTAGGCTGTAATGACGTCGATCAAATCACAACAAAAATCAAAACAGGTAAATTCAATCATGACAGAACTCATCTTTCAAAAATCACACAACTTCCACGTCCAACTGTGTATGTCTTCCTGCAGGATCTGAAGTACTTTTCTACCATTTTCAGATACAAAAACAGCCGAGGCAAAGTGCAGCCTTTCCAGAGCCTGTCCGCCTGACCACTTTGCTTTACACATCCGGAGCGGAGCAGCTAATATTGTCGGGCCAAAGATCTGTTTTGATGGTAAAATGTACGTGTTTGATATGGCAGTGCCTGAGTTAATGGAGGATGGAAATGTGTGTGACCTTGTGTGACAACCTCATTGGTTTCTCAACAGAATTATGAGTCATGTGTTGAATAATGTGGGACCAGGACTGAACATTGTGGTGGTAAATGGTGAGTAAAGACAGATTTCATAAAGTATTAGTGTGCTGTAACTTTCTTTAAAAGATTCTTTGAAAGGTTATTGTTAATAGTTTTGAGCCCATGGGAACAGCAGCAGATGGTACAATCTTGCCTAAAGGTCCATTAAAGCTGCAGTTGCTAACCTTTATGAAAATGACTTGTTGTCATATTTGCTGAAATTGTCACTACGTCTACAAAATATTACAAGAGACAGATAATCAATGGAAATCATGTCCCTCCTCCTCCTTCTATTGACCCTAGAATCCACTGCGGTGCACTGAAAACAACTAATCAAAGCCGAGGAGTCTGTATCGCTGTTAGTCATGTCAATCAATGATCGTAAACTTCAGTCAAACTGTCAAACTAGGCAGCTCTGATCAAATATGAATCAAGATTCTGTCACTGCATTGCCTGTTTCCTACCTTAGATGTTTTCAGAAACATATTTTAGTGTACTGTTTAGCTGTAAAATTAGAAAGTTTGCTCCGGCTGCCATGTTGGAAACAGGTTTTTTTTTTCTCCACCAGATCATCTCATCTATATTATGTACTACTGTGCCGATACAGTGACAGTTTCAGAAAATTTGAACAAAAGTTAACAACTTTAGCTTAATTTAGGAGCCCAGTCTCACTCCACAGTCGTTTAAATCCGGCGCTTGCAGTATCAGACACTGGCAAAAAAAAGCTGTCCTTTAACGCTGGCATGATACGTGGCTGATCACTGTTATAGTTTAACGGCGCTCTGTGGCATCAGGGGGAAATGCAGCAGGACAAGAACGAAAGTTAAGGAGGCAAAAGTCCGAGTAGGGTGGCTGGAAGGGGTTGTGGATGGGTCAAACAAACACCGACTTTCACCTGAGAGCGGCGTTTGTGTCCACTAAGATCATAAAACTGAACCCTCTTCTTTTTTCGTAAACCTAATCACATGCTTTTGTTGATGAAGAAAAAAAAAACGTCAATTTGTGTTGTTGTACTGATGTAGTGTGTTTATTTTGAAAGAGACTATATGTAAACGTTAAGTGTATTTTAAAAAAGACAATGCAAGTAGCAGGCAGAACTTAACACAGCGCCCCAGAACATTTCTTAGTCAACAACCAATGCAACCAGGGCACCTTTGCACGTCGTAACTGGATGTGGAAGGTCTATGATCAAATGTCGGTATGTGATGAGATTGGACTAAGAATGTGTTGACCATATTACATGATCCATCAGGAGATGGAGTTTTTTAAAACAAGTAAAGCGTCTTAGAGAGAAATTAGAGCCACATCCTTAAAGGCGCTGTATGTAAGAATGTGGCCAAAACGGTTACTGCACTCAAATTCAAAATACTGCCGCAAGTCATGTCCGCCCCCCCTCCCCTACAGATTCGAGGTTGCTGTTCTGTGCTGAATTGCTGCATTGTGCTCCAGCATCCGGCAAAAATAGAAGTCCTGCATATCTGTTGCAGAGGGCTCTGGAGTGCCGCAGCTGAGACGGAGCCAGAACACAGCACAGCCGCAGCCGGTGGAAACACACACATTGACTAGAACTGAATCCTATCGGATCTGCTGCCGTGCCGGAGCGCAGACGCAACCAGCACATATCTGGTGGAAATTGGGGGTGATTTGTTTGCCCACGGGTGGCTGCAGAGGCAGGGCCGCATAGCCGTGTCCTTGATATTCGGTTTTGCAGCGGACCGTTCGAGCAAGTCCAGCTTCTCTGCTGCTAACGCTGCTGTCGGAATACAGCTGAGGAGGAGCCGGCTGCTAATGCTATGTACCGGGACACTGCTAATGCTGCTTGCCGTGCTGCTAACGTTTGTTTCTCAAAAAAATCAGTCAGGTCAATGAACAACCTGCACATGGGCTACAATGTATGATTGAAAATGAATAACAGTTGAAAGTATTCGAAATGTCAATCCCAGTCTAGCTATGATGCTAGTTAGCCAACTTTGGCTAAAGCTTACCTGTCGAGGAGAAGAGTAGTCACTTTGACATCAGATTTCAAGTTCTTCTCCACTTTCAACCGTCTCCACCGTTCAAAAGCATCTCCTATATAGACCCTCGCTTTGCCTCGAGTTTTGTCTTGCCGTTTTTGGGAATCATAACGAGGTCGTTTGGGTTTAGTCGCACCGTCAGCCATTGTAGCTCAGTAGTAACTGTAACTGATGCTGAGACTCTACTGACTAACTTCTCTTCCACAACAATCTGCTGATGATGATCATGTGATATGATGAAAAGCTCCAGAATAGCTGAGATGAGTTTCTTTTTGTTGTTGATGACCAAATAATAGTTGTTGTGTGCGTTTTTTCTCTCCACCCTTAGGTGAAAGTGGAACTGTGAAAAAGTTTGGCTACCTTAATATGAAAGATGGAAGTAAGAGTTTTTTTTTGTTTTTTTAACCTTGTTTCCAATTTGAAAAAAACTGAAACCTTAAAAAAAGTTATTTGTTGTTTATTTGTTTTTTAAATTCCCCTGATAAAAGACCCAGAAGACATCATGGCATACCTGACGGAGATAACACCCGGTATGATCGTCTTGGTGGCTTCGTTTGATGATGTGACAAAAAAGTAAGTCCAGGTCTCGGTGATTCAACAGCTAAAATAATTTCACATCTCACAACATGACCCTTTTTCTACTGCTTTGTGGCAGGATGACAAAGGAAATGAGGGAGGTGTTTGCCGGAATGGGAAGCACTTTGATCAAGTCTGTGAAACACAGAGATAGCTGGGTGTTTGCTGGAAGAGCAGGGCCAGGAAACAAAAGCCTCTTTGAGAAGGTTAGTCATCCTGTTCTATTTGTGTCAGAAAAGACCGTCTATTTTAAAATGCGCTAAAAGTAAGAATTTAATAAAAGAAATACAACAAAACAAAACAAATGTCCCTTCTTCCCTGTTGACATGTCAGCAAGCTGTTAATGACAAGAAAACCAACATTTATGAAGGATGGCCGGACGTGGTGGAGGTGGGCGGCTGTTTTCCAAGGACGCCAACTGATGGACAGAAACCATGAAGGACTTTGTGATGAAAAGCAGACAATGGCTTATTTAAGACTTTCCTGTAAATGATGCCACTCCTGAAAGATGGATCTCTCCTCTGTGGCTGCTCCTGGAGTCTCCTTGAGTCGTTCTTCATCCCAAATCAAGAGTCTGAGGATTTTGTACAGATTGTAAAAGACATCTGAGGCAAGTTTGTGATTCTGAGCTGTGGAAATAAAACTGACTGGACTTGACTAACGCTGTTAATAGTCATAGAAAATACCAATGTTCAGTGAATGGAAAGAACAACACTGGACACATTGACAGAGGTGACTGGATACTGTGCAAGTGTCTGTTACTTCTGTACTACAGAATATGGCAACAGTTTTCTCCCTCTGGGATATATGAGCAATATTTGTTCTGCTTCCTGGTAGGTGGAGGATCATTTATCATGTAACTGTGAACAATGACTGGCTCAAGTTTTTGTGATCTGCAGTGCCTCGTTTTATCTCATATTTCTCACTGTTTACTTTCCATGGAAGCACATTTGTTGCCAGTGGTGGAGGAAGTACTCCTTTACAGATTTAAAAGTAAAAGTACAGATACAAAAAAAAATACTGTTACAAGTATCCTGCAGTCAAAATCCTACTTCGAGTTGTAATCTCAAAGATTTTCATTTCAATATATGTCTGTTAAGTCATTATCTATCACCAAATGAGATGACACAATGGTAACTGAGCCCATGGCCCACTGATGGAAGCCCCCTTGTTTGCAGTCACTCTAAAAAATAATCCACTGGTTCAATTTAAAGGAAATTAAAGGACAGCTTCGGTATTTTTCAACCTGGGCTCTATTTCCTCATGTGTATGTGTGCGTATGATTCATGGGTACCACTCATTCTAAAATTGGTTCAGTATTGAGCCGCGAAATGAGCTAAAACAGTAATGGGGGCAAATGTGTCCCGTATAAAATTGTTTTTTTTGCCACTGACCAATTCAGATTGCCAGCGCTATCTCTGTAAATAGCATATGGTAGCGGCCCTGGGGCAGTGGTGAGTGTGAATGAGTGGAGTCAGCTGTCAGTCAGTGTTGGAGCAGAAAGGCGGAAGGTGTCCCCGCTCAGTATTGTAAATGAGTATGTGTGTGTGAAGTGTGTGTTACGCTAGAAGAGTCAGAGGATGGAGTCTTTTACGTGCTACCCCCTGGAGTGTTACCGGAGTTTTTGGAGTGCTCAAATAAACGGGCCTTTTTCCCGAAAGCAAGAACAGGATGTTGCGCAACACCCCGTACAGCTTTCATAGGCTGCCTTTGTCGGACGGCAAGATGCTGAAGTTGTGGCTAGTTGTGCTACAAATGGATGCTAACACTCCTGTCCAGACACTGCGCCTTGCAGACCATCAGGTCTGCAGTGCTCACTTCTCCCAAGATGACTACTGCCAGCCGAAGAAGAGAAGACATCCAATCCCGAAACACCTCTTCCTCAAGAAAACGGCTGTCCCACGAGTAGAGAGAGCTACAGACTCAGTGGAGCAAAGCTCGTGACATCACACAGCCCAGAGGTAAGGGAAAAAACCGCTGGCGAAAAAACACACACTTCACACACACACTCATTTACAATACCGAGCGGGGACACCTTCCGCCTCTCTGCTCCAACACTGACTGACAGCTGACTCCACTCATTCACAGTCACCACTGCCCCAGGGCCGCTACCATATGCTATTAACAGAGATAGCACTGGCGATCTGAACCGGTCAGTGGCGAAAAAAAGCACTTTTATACGGGACGCATTTGCCCCCATTACCGTTTTAGCTCGTTTCGCGGCTCAATACTGAACCAGTTTTAGAACGAGTGGTACCTATGAATCATATGCACACATACACATGGGGAAATAGGGCCCAGGTTGAAAAATACCGAAGTTGTCCTTTAAGGCAACAATTGGCATCTTTTTAAGTAGTTCTAATTCTAGCGTTATTGAGTAAATCTGATGAGTCTTTTATAATCTGATAAACTCAATTAGTTTAGTACAACATGCATTGGCTTTGACCTTGAAAAACTTAAGGTGAACCAACTTAATATTTATCAAAACATGTTGATATTTAGTAGTCAAACGTTTTTATTTAAGATAATCTAACTTTTTTTTTTTTTGTTCAATTCCACCTTACTAAATGTAACAAATGTTTTGGATTTTTCACCAGTTTTATAAAATAAATGTCAACTTACTAAAACACGTTAGTGAAATGAATGTCATTTTTTATGCTGAAAAACTTTAAGCATTATCCACTGACCCCATGGGTAATTTTTTAGAGTGTACAAGCTGGGTGTCTGTGGAGACATTCTTGGGGGAAAAATACATTTATATGCAGCTAATTTAAAACAACAAATATGTTTGAGGTGAACTGAATGCAGAGGGAATGACGTTTTCTATCAACATAATTAGGAAATGCTGCAAATTAACCTGGCAAGTCGCAAAAATGTTGATACTGTAGGTATCGCCAAAATGTTTACTGATGACTTACTTAATTTGTTCCAAAAAATAGGCAATCTTGCAAAACAGTATCAACTTGTAGTGATTACAGCTTTATTTTTATGCCTCTGTGCCGGTGATAGCCAGAGACATTCGTTCTATTCTCGTGAACACAATATCTGAAGGACATCTTGAGGAAATTTGTAAAATTTGGCAGAAATATTCACTTGGACTCAGCAATGAACTGATTAGATTTTGGTGGTAAAAGGTCAAGGTCAATGTGACCTTGTATCCCTCTTATTCTTGTGAACACAACATCGTATGTTTTCAGGTTGTCCACCTATCCGTTCTATTCTCATGAACACAATATCTGAAGAACACCTTAAGGGACTCTCTTCAAATTTGACACAAACGTCCAATTAAACTGAAGAATAAAGTGATTAGAATTTGGTGGTTTAAGGGTAAGGTCAGTGTGACCTCACAAAACATGTTTTTGGCCAGAACGTAAGAATTCATACCCCAATTATGACACAACTTCACCAAAATATCTAATAGAACATAATGATGAAGTAATTACATTTTATATCCAAAACATCAGAGGTCAACTTCACTGTTACTTCATAACATTCTGCTTTTCTGGCCACTGCCCAACGCAGGGTAGACATTTGGTCAGATACTGAACTGATGACACTAATGTTGAAACTGTGCTGAAGCATCCATGTTTTCACAGACATGGATGTAAACTGACTGGTGTGCGGAGGCATACAACCACGGGGTGGTAATTCCATTTTTTTTTTATTGACATTAACCAAAATCACGATCATTTCCTAACCTTAACCAAAGTGCTTTTATTACCTTAACCTAACCACAAACAGGAGTCTGAAGGCGAACCCCGTGATTTTGGTGTCACAGTCCTACACTTTGTATATCCCCCATCCATCCTGTCCACCCTGCTGTGATTCGAGCATGATACAGAAATGTAGTGTTTCATTAACTGGTTGTCTCTAAACGTAATCCAATTACATTGCCACTGTAATGAAGTTATGAATGCAACTGAATAATATACAAATGTAATTTTTAGAACTCACTCTTCAGCCCATTTGTGTATGAAGCTCCATGCTTTTTTTGGTCTCTCTGCTAATGTTGTTACCAAACTGTTACTGCGGCAGACCTAACTAAGAAAAGGCAAAGAAATTACTGCAAAAGACAAAACTTTTCCTTTTTGTTTTCATGTGTACTGGTGACCTGGAATTGTTATGTAACTGACTGACATCACACAGGCGACAGACAGACCATGGTTTTAAGTTAAGTGTAACTACAGTTACGTGTGTGATCAACATTTTATGTTATATGCTGGTTGAGGTGGGACTAGTTTTAACTACTTTATGTGCACTTTGGTTGGTTTAATTTACTGGCTCCCACTTTCTCAGGTCTTGAGACAAATTTGGATTCAGTTTTTGGGCTTTTCAGCAAAGCTTTACTTTTTTTGTGTGTGAAATATTGAATAATTTGACCTGTCTGGGCCTTGAGCAGTTATTGAAATGAAACCACTTGAGAAGTCTGGAGGGGAAATGTCTCTTTGGTGGATCTGTAACCTGTAGACATCTGAAACACAACAAGGAGTCCCAATTAGACACTTCTACAAGGGGTCACAAAACAAAAAGTTTGGGAACAGTGCGTTGTACTTTATACACAGTACTTGAGTACACGTACGTAGTTACTTTCCACCACAGCTGCACACTAAATACTCTTCCAGCACTTTTGGTCTGTTCTCCAGGGTTTGTCTCCTACTTGGTTGCTGCTTCCGTGGGAGCACCATCATTGGTCCAAACACAAAGCAGTCTCCTCTCTCTGGCATTCTTGGCTGCTGGAGGAGAGAGAGAGAAAGAGTAACCTCAAATTATTATTGCAACTCTGTCCACTTTGAGCCCAGGAGGTGTCTGTGCAGAAACTAAATCCGGACTCATACTGAGGAAGTGATGGGAGTCACCCATGGGAAGAAGGTAAGTGTGTCGAGTTTCTATTCTTCTTTTGTTCCTGTCTTTCTCTGTGAGACACAACACATGTATCAAGTCATGTTAAGATAATCCGGCAGAAGCATCCATGTGGCTAAAACACTCTCTTGGCTTGCAACATGTGTTTGAGAAGATTAAGAGACTGAGATGATAAAAAACCAACTGTTACAGTATGCTGTGTGTCATGCTACATGATATGCGCAGTATGAGTTGTGTTTTCTTTATCACGTTTAAGCTTTTGTTTGGCAGAACTTTACAGTTTTCTTATCTGTCACTGTTAACTCCAGCTTTTATTTCCCAAAGACAGTGAGGACTTGAACCAAACACAGGTCTTTATCCACTAAAAAAAAGCCTCGCCAACACTGGAGAGTGGGCCTTGGAGAGTGTTTACCCTGTCATGTCCAATTAATTCTTCTCCACACAATATCCACTGTGTGAGCTTTAGCCAAGCAGCATGACTCTACCCTCATCAACAACACAGCAGCCAGCAACACAGCTGTCATTAAAATGCCTCATCTAGATTGCACTTTTTCTCATTCTGAGTATTTTCCGTCATTTTATATCTTCTCCTCTATCTTCTGAAGGTTTTTTAAAGCATGAATCCATGCTACTACATTTCTTTGGGGCCTGTAGATGCCCAGACATGACGCAGCTGAACTGCAATGAATGCCAAGGCTACAACAAACATTATGTAACATGCACATGAATCAATAATAGCTACAGTAGATCGTGCTCAGAGCAAAAAGATAAGTCTGCCATGTTTTTTCTGCATCCAAATGTTCATCAAATATTAAATGCAACAACAAAAACAGAATTATTTCTTTCAGCGGTGCAGTCTGAGCCCCACGGGAGGAATAATTCCTGTCTCGACTATTAATTCTGCTCAGACTCGCAAATGAGAATCTCAGTGGGAATCAAAGTGTGTTTTGTTTGATCCTTGCCTTTAATGAGGTGGCAGCCCTCCACCTCACCAGTAAGGGCACTCGCTTCACTGGACATGTGGAACTAGAGCTGACACTTCATTTGTCTGTCAGCATCATAATACGGCTTTGTGCTGCTCGCAACTCCCGCTGCTATTTGCATGAAGCTGCATTGTTGACCCGACTGGGAGACTGTATCTATTTGGAGTGCTATCATGTGTCACACTGTATCTATGCATTTGTATTGTGACTAAAAACAAACAAAACTATCACAGGGACAAGTTGGTATGAGATATTTTGTATTATTTTTAACATGTCATTGATGTTTTCTGTTGACAGAGAGATCTCCAACATTCTTCAGGGACACACCTGAATGGGTCTGGTGAGAAATCTATCTATCATCATTATTATCAGTATCATAAAGAGGCAGAGGAAGCTGTTTTTGTCTGATAGTGCACAGAGGTAGCAGGAGCGTGTGTGAATCTGTGCTATAAAGCACATGGCCACAGTAGTATTTGCTGCAGAGGCGTTTTTATTGATTCTAACTGTCATTAAAGAGTAAAAAGAGGGTCAGCCAGAATTTGTTCGGTCAATAGACTGTTATGTGGCTGTCGATAAACCATTTGCCGAGCGACATTCAACATTCAAGTCTGTGAAATGTGTTTAAAAGCGAGACTGTGTCCCTTTGAAAGAAGAAATAACACAATCTGCCCCTTCATAAATGAACAGAAGAATCCATAAGCGACAAAACACACCCTTGTTCATTTCGATACACTCGGGGGTTTTGTTGCCGTCACTTTATACTTTGTTTGGTCTGACCAGTAGTTTTTGGTGGTTAATGTTTGCTAATGTTGGCAAACTTTCCATAGATATTGCAGTGTGACTTATATTTATGAGTCACTTCACTGACAATGTGACCCATCTCTTCTTGTGCCTCTGTTAGGCTGTGTTTTATTTATTTATTTATTTATTTACTGTACAGTAAAGGTTGCAAGGGCTTACTTTAAAGTCTTGTGGAAAAATCCAAGCCAAGGTTTTATGTCTCCGATCTAAAGTGTGAATACAGAGACTGTAAGGAGCCTCTACAGGTGAAGATGCTGCAGGTTTATGGCAAGCCGTTTTAACATTTAATCGCTAGACTGGATATTCATTACTGATATCAGCAATATAATTTTGCCTAGTCAAAACTCTTATTCAAAATATCTGTAATTAGATTTTGACTAGTCAAAATTCTAATTAAAGATATCTGTAATTCAGTTTTGACTAGTAAGATTCAAACTACTTTTGCCATTCATGTGTATGGGGTTTGTCATTATAGATATCTCCAATGCAGATATCTGCATTGTCATATGTCATTTTGACTAGTCATAATTCAAATTCAGGATATCTACAGCGTCATTCTGACTATCTGAAACTCAATTCAAGATATCTAGAAAGGACCATGTAGATATCTTCAATTGATGATAATTAAAGATATCTTGAACTTGAATTATGACTAGTCAAAATTAAATTGTAGATATCTCAAACTGGAATTACAGATATCTACAATTCAGTTACAGATATCCGCAATAAGAATTGCAGATATCCGCAACTACATTGGAGATATCTATAATGACAAACCCCATACACATGAATGGCAAAAATAGTTTGAATCTTACTAGTCAAAACTGAATTACAGATATCTCTAATGAGTTTTGACTAGTCAAAATCTAATTACAGTTATCTTGAATAAGAGTTTTGACTAGGCAAAATTATGTTGCAGATATCAGTAATGAATATCCAGTCTAGCGATTAAATGTTAAAACGGCTTGCCATAGATATCTTCAATTAAAATTCATACATAGTCACAATGACATTACGACTAGACAAAATGGTGTTGTTGATATCTATAATGGTAATTCTGGATTGTCAAACTTAGTGATTAAATGTTAAAACGATTTGCCAAAGCAGGTTTATAGACGTATGGATATCAATCATGGATAGGAACACATGTTTTAAAATTGGCGAGAAGATGAAAGAAATACCTTATTAAGTAGTCTAATAAAATTTTGGGGAAATGCTATTTGCACCCTGCGTCTGTTGCCAACAATACTATTTGCACCCAGGTGTATATTCCTGGACATTCTAGCAACATCAAACTATAATGTCGAATGGGTCTATTCAGTACACAGTGCACATTCAGCAGCATTATACACCATAAAAACTGATAAGTGATAAGTAAACTAAGTCTAAAAAATAATAGGCCATAATTGACCCACACATGACTCAAACCCTGGTCTCCTATGTGTACACACCCTGTGCTTAACCCACCCATAACATCTTACTGCCTCCCTGGACTGTGTCAATGTGTATATTTCAAGTACATCACCCGATTGTCTTACAGTGCATTTTTATGTGTTTTCTATCAGATTTACCACTTTAGTCTCAGAGAATATCCCAGATTGACTAGTGTGAGCCCTAACCATGACATTTTTGCCCTAATTCTAACCCCTTCCAACCTCAAAGCGTCAACGTGACGAGTACCAGCCAATTACAACACGCAGTGGGATCCCTAATAATGTGTCATAGGGATGGGTGTAAATAGCTGAACAGCTGCAGCGTGACAATTCTCACTCAGGTGCAAACAGATACCCTGAAAACTTTTTCACTCTGTTGTTATTTTACACAAAAGGTTCAGGGTGATTGGGTGCCACATAGCAGGCAACCCAGGCTGTTAGGTGTTTGGTGCTTTGCTCAGGGGCACTTCAGCAGAGCCCAGGAGGTGAACTGGCACCTGTCTAGCCATCAGTCCATGCTCCATACCGACTAATCTGTGCTGGACTTGAACCAGCCACCCCCCAGTTCCCAAGCCAAGTCTCTATGGATTCAAATCACAGTCAATTTACTTTGTTCGGTGTTTCTGAAAGATTGCCATTGATGTCATTGAAACTGCACTCCTGTTCATGTGGCTTCTTTGTAACTGTGTTAGATCAAGGTCCTTGTGTTATTTCAAATCTATGCGATACACCAGAGATCGTATTATCAGGGAGAGGACTGTAAATACTTGCATAGAGGACACCTGTGTTGAGTTATCCTCCCTGTGTAAACACATGTGGCTTTTTCTGAGACAGCTGGGACTCATGAGGAGATCAACCATTTATACCACCACTCCACTCCACCATAAGCCACCTGAGTAAGACACTATCCAATAAGAGTGCTCCAAAATAAAAACAATAATAACCCTCACCTTGACCTTTTTATTGACCTTGGAAATAGGCTAATTAGCTATGAAGTGTTAGCTCAGGGTCCTCTTACTGAACATTTCCTGGAGCTTTGACCTGCATCTCCTGTCATTCATAAGCGGACAAAGTTAGCTCCCGGAGATAGTTCAGTTGTTGTCATGTGACACAAGTACAGAACGGGGTTATGGGGGTTGTTGTAACTACTGGCTCTGTTCAAATATAGTCTCTGGTGTTGGATGCGGTCACTGAGTCACTAAAAGCAGTGGTGGCACTTCCTATAGGCGACATAGGTGGCTGCCTAGGGTGCATGCTAAAGCACTGATGGGTATGGTGGAGTGGGGTGTATATTGAGAGCATTAGAGTAAATGAAAATAAAAAAGCAAAAGCTGTCTGGGGCACATTTTATGGGGGTTGGGGGGCACCAGGAGAAGCTTGCCTAGGGTACCGAATGTGCTGAAAGTCTGCCAGGATGTGTTTATAATACTCAAACCTAACCAGCTGTAATGATGAATGTTGAACTCACGACGAATACTGTATCACAAGAAAGAGTTGGTCATAAAAATGATATGAATGGGTAAATATATACTGTATGTTTCTCCCTTTAGCCTCAGTAGTGCAGACACACCAAACTGAACAGCAAGACCGATGCCCAGAGTTTCGGGTTCCTCCGTCCCATCTCCAGAGTGAGGAGGAGAGCAGTGATCTCATCAAACCCCAGAAACCTCTCAATCCTTTATCGGCCTCCAGGAGTCACCAGGAGCTCCACAAAGAACTGCGGATGACCCACAAGAGGTTGGAAGAGACACACAGGCGCTCATAGACACTCACACTTCACTTGCATTGTTTATATGAATCATAATCTGTCTGTGTCAGGAGAGTGACTAAGGAAGGAAAGACTGAACTCCAGAGAGCTTTAGAGAAGAGGAGATGGGAACAGAGGACGAAGGCGAGCAGGGATCAGGAGGAGGCGAAGAAGAACAGATCACCACTTCATCAGGAGCTGCTGAAAAGACATCAGAGGCTAGAAAAGGTTTGGATTGGACACACTATTGTTTCTGTGTCGTATATGAATATGCTCAGTGTTTCCTCACAGCTGATTGATAGTGGTGGTTTATGTGGAGCATCATGTTGTTCTGCAGTCAGCCAGCAGAGGGCGGTGTAGACATTGTTTCAGATGCTGCAAAAGTCCAATCGGGACTCTGAAATCTTTTTAATTTTATAAGACCAGGGAATTAGCCCTAAACTTAGACATTGGTGAAATATCTTGTGAAAATGGTACTTGTTTACTGCTGCTCCACAAATGAGCTCTGCATATTTAGTACGAATCATTTCTCCACAGCTGGAGAGAGACAAAGGACAGCAGCAAGAGCGTGACGGGCCAGAGTTCCTCCAAGTTAAAGAGAGACTGAGAAGAACTGCAATGTTGGATGCAGGAGGAGAAGTGTGACACTTATGATTTGTGATCGTATATGCACGTTTTCTGTTGATGGACTGCTAGGGAGAAGTGACTTGATTAACTGAGCAAAGGCCCAAGAGGCACTAAAGGAGCAGTCACTGGATGTGTCATATATACAGTAGCTACATGTATCAGTACTGAATATATTTTCCCCCAATGATACAAACAGAATTCACACTGTTTAATATGTGTTACCATTTTGTAGCATGTTGTTTATGTGTCTGTATGACATGTCTGCTGCTTACATACTACGCTACAAAACACAATTTTCTATGTTGTAGTGAAGACTGACAGACTTTTACAATTTAACAAAGTGTTTTTTGGTATTCACTTTTCACTGCATGTCATTGTTTTATACAGCTAGACCTGTTTTATGATGTTAGGAAGTGCAGTATGATTAGTAGAGTCAAAAATCAGGTTTATTTGTCTGGCAAGGTGACTGATGTCAACACTGAGACTTAATGTAAGTCTGAAATAGCCAATGAGCAGTGGCGATCATAGACTCTGGAGGGGCCCAGGCAAAGAAAAGAAAGGTATGTTTGTGTCATTGCACTGATGGTTACACTTCATGTTGTATAACAGTCACAGATAATTAGCTGTCTGTCCTAATAAATGATATTCAGCTGTCATACAGCTAAAATAAGACCCACTGTGAAAGCTTTTGGGGCAGAGGCAATGTGTTATATGGTGCCTTTATGAGAGGTTTAACGGGGGTTTGTAGTTGTAAATGCAGAATCTGCCAATATGACTAGCCCTTTTCAACACATTCTCACTCAGACCTCGACACATATAGAAGTGTGGTCATGGACTTTTTATGTCCAGATACAACTTGCAAGGTACCCTGGATGCGTTGGTTGTTGACATTCTGGGACGCCATGTCAAGTTCTGCCTGTTACACGCATTGTCTTCTTTCAAAATAAACTTCCGTTTTCACTGGAAATTTACTGTTTACATACAGTCTCTTTCAAAATAAACGCACTCAGTCGGTAAAACACTGCGAACTGACTTTTTTTTTTTTCAATCAATAACTAATGCAGGTGATTGGGTTTGGGGGAAAAGAACAGAGTATGACCTTATTATCTTTAGGGATGCGAACACTGCTCTCATGTTTGTTGGACTTATCCACGACACCTTCAGCCCACCCTACTGGGACTTTTGCCACCTTAACTTTCTGTCTTGTCTCACTGCATTTTCCCCTGCCATCGCTGGCCACCATTAAACTATAACGTTAATGCCAATGTTGAAGAACAGCTTTTTTCATTTTAGGAAACTGATTGCCTTAAACCATTTAAGTTTTTGTCTCAAAGAATTTCAGCCTGAACTTTTCTTTAATTTGAGTTCAAGTAACTTAAGTATTTATTTTTGAGGTAACTTGGGTAAATAAAGTTAATATTGCTAATTCCATTCAGTTAATTTAACCTAAATCTATAAAGTATATTTCACCTAAATGTTGTATTTCTTCATACTCATTTATAATGTGTTAATAGACTTTGTCTGAATAAGGTAAGACTAACTTAAATCCATCTTTTTAAACAAAAATGACCACATATATTCATTATCCTGGTATAGACAGTTTACTTTTTTGGTGATAATTATCATTTTACAGAAAGATTTAAGTGTTCTGTTATTTTCAAAAAGAAGTCTTCACCTCACATCATTCATAATCAAATAAATGTTCACAAGAACCTGCCGGTTGTGACTATTTTACTTTTTTTCACTGTGAAAATACACTTATTTGTAGGGTACATATTTTAACATTTCAGTTTCGAATTGTTGCAATTCTTCATTGATGGCCCTGAACACAACAGTATATAATACAACTCATATAAGAGGATTATTATGGTATTTTTTGAGGCTGTAGTTTATTGAGGTGCTATTTGGTTTCCACTACTTTGTACACGTGTTCATCATTTCCATTGTAGCTTTGATCTCACTGGTTTTGCATCTTGCTCATTCAGTTTGACAACAGAAGGAAAATGTATCTTAATAAATGGAGTAGTAAAGAGGTAAATTCTTATTAAATTCAGTGATCTGTAAGCATTGTATTTTGTCATTTATATTCAACGCAGTTTCAATGTTTGAATTGTTTCCCCTTTTTACAAATCACAATGTGTTACATCTAAAGCTGAATTTACTGTATGACGACAGAACACACAATGCATAGACAAGGAAGTTTTATTTCATTTCCTGCAATCATATCTCTGTGGGTACAAATCATTGTATTTTCTTACATCTTATTCAATAACCCATGATGCATTGCATCCATACATTTGTAGCTCAAAACAGCTTTTACAAAAAAGGATATACAATATATACTTATATTTATATATATAATATACACGTGTTTCTTTATGCATTTAGATGTGTTTGTAATGGGTAAAATAAGCTTCTTAAAAAAAACACAGCCGAGTGGAAACAAATCCCAGGTAAGGTTCAATATAAGGTCGTTACCAAACAAATAATAGCCAGGTTATCAAAGTCATCAACATTGGCTATCTTACAGTTAACATGAAGCCCTTCACACACAGTTTGCATATTTTCCACAATTACAGTCGTGTAAATCCAGAGTGATTGCCTTCTCTTATTGTACTGTGGACCTGCAAGTATCAATGACAGACTGAGGGAACTGGTTTATGTGGGCAACAAAACTTTTATGGGTCGATTTGCTATCTCTACGGCTAACTAATAATACGGCACTGTGTCGTGACATGCTTTAAATTAATAATGTGATGGCATGATTAATATCAGGATTCAAGTGTTTTCAGCCAGCAGTCGCAGGGAGAATTTTGTCTTTATTTTTTTTTTCTCTACATTAAATATTGTGATGAAACATCGCCATCCTTCGTCTGAGTGGTGTATTTATAAGATGACAGCGCGTCTGAATCACTGTATGGCTTTAGTGCTGCAGTTCATCTCCTCAGCAGGACAAATGTAGAGCTTGCACACTGAAGGCTACTCCCATGGTGGACAGGTGACGCCTCCAGCACTGTTATTTTTTTATTATTTTTTTCTTGTACTGTGGCTGGCACCTGAACCTAAAATAGGATATGTTTTTTTTCTGCTTGGGCCTGGGTATCAGAGAGGAATAAACAGATCTACACATCAACGGCAAGAAAACAGACTGAAAAAATAAAGTTGTAAATAAACATAGTACAGGAGAAATGTCACTCAGGTAGAGACTTGACCATCAGAGTCAATGCAAATGATAAGTCCACTGTGCTGTGTTGTACTTTGTCAACAACATTACTTCTGGTGTTACTCACTTCACATTATATAGCTCAAAATTACAGTATTACATCTTTTTTTTTTTCAATACAACAGAGTAATAATAATCATGTGTGTTTATACTAAATGATCATCATTCATGTAAACATATTTAACCAGGTCATGCAAACAGACCAAAACTTCTTCCACTAGAGGTGCACAGCACAGAGCAGGCGGAGCGCCCAGACTGAGATCCCTCCGACCCGGCAAAAAAGACCCAGACACCGACAGCAGGTGGATATTCAGACGCTTGTCAGAAACAGAAGGGAGGATGAGCGTGATGTGATTATGATCATTTTCTTCCCACGTGCAACGGATTCTCAACATAATCACACCTTCAAGATAACTCCTCCTAACGCGATGCGAGCCCACGGAGGAAGGTCAGGTTCCTGTGATTTACAGACTTGACGGGGATCTCAGTTTGAGCCTCTGATAACAGAACAGCCATAAAACGAAACAAAAAAAGTCTCCTTTTTGATATTCATACACTTTGATGTTTTTTCCCAAACAGAAGCATGCAGACACTCCAGGTCAGAACCGCTCTTCACAAACCCAGTCTGAGCCAGAATATAGAGTCCATAACCCCCAGAATCACCCTCCACTTTCCAAAAAAAAAAAAAGAAAAAGAAAAAGGCGTTTAACAGAAGTAGTAAATACTTATAAAAGGACAGAAACACTTAACAGGAGAAAGAAGACAAAGTGATTAAACAGAACAGATGGGCGGGTGGCATCGGCAGTGAAGTCATGCCTTCAGATTAACTCTATTCAACTAAACAGCTACTTGATCAGTGACTGGACGAGTCACATTGATGGGTAAGGAATATAAAGACATGCAGGAGTAGCTTTCAGTATTTCCCTTTAGAAAGCGTTCCCCTTTTCTTTGTGCCCTGTCTGGCCAGATTTTTGGAGAAAGCTGCCAGTAATGTAGAGAGTGTGAGCCAGATGGAAGCAGACAGACGGTAATTGTGATTAGAGGTAGATGTGACAGATAATGTGAGAACAAAAATAATGGCCAACGCCTCGTCTTTGATTGAGACTCCGGCAGCTTGAATCCTTCCTGAAGCTAACATCCAGAAACATGTCTTGTAATTTGCACGCTTTCATATGACCCCTGTCTGCTATAGCTGCACAAAGGACAACTACACGTTAGGTTGCTCATCATGCAGACCGGCCCTTTCTTTTAAATCACTGTCCACTCGGAGCAGCCTTACATTCTGCTCTGCTAAAAATAAAATAAAATAAAATGTGTGTGTCTTGAGTCAGGATGTGTATTTTTTTATTTTCTGGGACAAAGACTTACAGTATGTTTCTCCACACTGTGACAGTGACCTGATCACTGTGGATGTACTCTGGTGGACACTGCCTGATAACTACTCTGCATTCCTGGCCAGACTGGGCGGGCGGGCTCTGGGCGCTCCAGGGATACAATGTCACCATGACAACTTGTGCTCAAACGCGACTGGCTGGCCTGCAGCAGTAGGTGCAGCTTCTCAGGCTGTCCCGATCTGTGCTGCCCTCAGTGCTTCCGCGACGGCCGTCCTCATAGTGGGACACTGGAGGTTAGAGCAAAACAAAGAAGCATGTGAGCTTATTCTTGTAAATGTGGACATTCTGAGAATGAGTCATATACCTTTGTACTCATATGTCCTTTGTAGACATATGGGAAATTTTCCAAATAAACTCAAATTTGCATAATGAAGTTAGCAAATTTTGCTAATCCTTGGTGTTATTTTCTGTGTTTACTTTCAGTCAGACACAAGTGTTTGGTGGTGGCAAGTGCAAGGTTAGCATGACCAAGAGTTATAACTGCCACAGTTATGAGAACCAAGGTTGAAAATACCGTAGTTTTCCTTTAAAGTGACAGTTTGTCCACAAATCAAAAATACATATTCTTCCTCTTACCCATGGTGCTATTTGTCAGTCTAGACTGTTTTGGTGTGAGTTTCCCAGTATTGGAGATATCAGCTGTAGAGATGTCTGCCTTCTCGTGAATACAATGGAAGTAGATGGCGCTCCGCTTGTGGTGCTCAAACCGCCATATCTCATTTTAGAAATCATGACCCAGTTACTCAAG